CCCCCCAGTGTCCTTTTTCCCTGCCCCAGAGTGACGCGAAGCAGGAGCGGAGTTTTGGCTAGTGGGGACTGCTTTGCAGGAAACTGACTCATCAGAACTCGTCCCTCCCTCTGTCCAGGGCTCTGCCCACGCACCGCCCATCTTGCGCGTGATTTCCTGGAGATCAGCGCCCCCTTCCGACCCTGACGAGAATAGCAAACCCGCCTTCCAGCGGAATCGGGTTTGGCCCGCCTTTCCTTCCCGCCGCTATCCCTAGGCTGATTCCCGCCGCTATCCCTGAACTGATTCAACGTTGCTCTCCCCTTGCCGCCACTTAAAAGAGCACCGATTGGTTCAACAGTATTTACCCTGCACTTGCTATTGAGCTGAGGATTAAAATATGGCTGGAGTAGCACCATTAGGGTTTGATCTAAGGCACCCCAACAAGGGAAGCTATTCAAATTCTCGTTTGTAAAACAAGGGTTTGTGTTTAAATTTTTTCTTTTTTCCTGAGCAGGTTTTGATGGGGCAGGTGAAGCTCATGAGTCAGTCCTTAGAAGGGAAGATGGTGGGCTCGTCCTCCAGTGTCAATGGGGCCTTGAAACCCAAAATCCCACTGCAGCCCTCGTGCGCCCCCTTGCTGGCACCCCCAAGAGAGCCTATCAGAATCACATAGGAAGCTGTGCCACACACTTGCTTGAATCCCTTCAGTTTAGATTAAGGTGGTCTAGGGAAGGAAGGCCATTGATGTATACTTTGAAGAAGCCCCCCAAGTAACTGATAGCCATGTTTGATTAAGATCAAAATTAGAGAATGAATGGGATGTAGGAGCCAAGAGCACAGAACTCAGGGCAAATTGGGACTTGTCCCCAGAAAAGCCCAGTCCATGCCAAGGATGAGTGACTGCTGTGTGACTTTGGGCAAGTTACTTAACTTCTCTGAGACTTGAGTTCCTGGTATGTAGGAAAGAATCAGGCCAGCGATGGCTTTCCTCATGGGCAAACTCACTCTTCCCTTTTCTGAAGTGAGAGGAAAAGAGCTTGGTAGACTTGTTAAGTGCTGTCGAGTAGGTTCCAACTCATGGAGACCCTATATAGGGTTTCCGAGGAGCAGCTGGTGAGTTTGAACTGCCGACCTTGTGGTCGCATGCTTATCCTACAGCGCCACACCTGGCCACCTTTAATTTTCTCTTCCTGCAAAAATTAGTTTCTTGGATGCAGGCAATGTAAGGCAAGGACTGTGAGGTGTCTAGACTTCAGATCACCTGATGTACCTGGCAGGATGTGGCTCAGCCTTGGAGAAATCATGGCCCAGCCCTGCCCCACCCAATCCCTCCTCCAGCCCTAGGCCTTTTGACTGATGACATCTTTGGGAAACGCCCACAGTCCACTGCACCTGTCAGCTGCTGTCTGAAGAGGTTGATGGGGTGGAGAGTAGCAGGGGGGTGGGGCAGTGGGGAGTGGGAATATGGTGGAGAGGAGGCTCAGTTAGAACTGAAGGCAGAGAGATACAATGCTTCCGGTTTCCTTAGCATGTCTGTGTTGCTCTAGGCATGTTACTTACATTAACTCAGTTAATCATCACACTTACTTTCTGAAATATTACAGTTTCAGTTTTGCAGATAAAGAAACTAAAGCCTAGAGAGGTTAAACCCACCTGTCCCGTGTTACCTAGCAGAGCCTGGATTAGAACTCAGGCAGTTTGACTCCAGAGCCCTTGCTTTTGACCATGAAGATACAGGATCAACTGTGTTATCTGGCTTCCCTGGAGGAACTCACTGACCATAGCCCTGCTCTTTGAACTTTCATACAGACCCAATTTACAAATGAGGAAACTAAATCCCAGAGACATTAAATGACAGACTGAAGTTTTAGGTGGAGTCCTGGTGTGGCGCTGTAGCATAAGCATGGGACCACATGAGTCTGAACCGACTCAACAGCACTTAACAACAATAGTTTTAGAAAGTAACTGTCTAAGCCAGAACTAGAACCCAGGTCTTTCTTAACTCCATATTTAAATTGCAGGGCAGGATTACCTCATGTGGACCAACTGATGCCCTGGGTTTGGGGGAGGTATCAGTTCATTCATTTGGTAATTGACCTCTTGGCTGGATTGGGAAACTGCTGGACTCTGGCAATTCACACATATTTGGGGCTTTCACACCTGCTAGGGACACCTCAGGGGGAAAAACAAATTGATTTTAGCTGATAATACCTGATGGTAAACAGGACTCTGATCCCTGCTATTGCAATAAACCTGTCTCTGTTGAAATAAGTCTGCCCTTCAGCTGCCCACTCCCCCAGTGACCTTGGAGGTGCAGTCCCTGGGACCACCCAGTGCTTTTCTAAGGGTCTATGGGAGGGAAGTGATGGAAAACCTCATGTTGGGGTGGGGGTAGGGATGGCAAAAGGGGCTTGGAGGGGAGACCCAGAGCTGGGCTTCGTCTGAGGCTACACAGCAAAGCATAGCCAGTTTTCTGAGTAACCTGGGCTGTACTTGTGTCTTCCGCCACAGGCACCATGTCGGAGCAAATCAGGTACAACCGTCAGATCCCTTGCAGCCTCAAGGTGTGCCGCCGCCTCTTTGGCGTTGCGGATCAACAGCAGGTGCGCCGCGACTGCGATGCACTAATGGCGAGCTACCTGCAAGAGGCCCGCAAACGTTGGAACTTCGACTTTGCCACCGAGACACCGCTGGAGGGCAACTACGTTTGGGAGCGTGTGCCGAGCCTTGGCCTGCCGAAGATCTACAAGTCTACAGCGTGTTGGGCAACCCCTATCAACCTGGGAGGGGGCAAGCCGCCTTCCGCTGGAGCCTCCTCAGCTGTTGCGATTCCGGGGACGTCCCAGGGGGCCCAGGCGTCGGGGTCTGGCACCGGCAGGTCTGAGCCCCTTGAGGAACCCGAGGTGGCCCCAGCTGTTCCCCTACCTCGGGGCCGCAAACGCGGTCAGACCAGCATGACCGGTAAGAACAGGTACAGGGAAGGGGGCTACTACTGGGAGAGGTGTCCTGCCAACTCCAAGAGCCAGTCTTTTTGGTCCAGCTTATTAGGCAGAAAGGAAAACATCTGGAGAGGGAAGGTGATTTGCCTGAGGTCATACAGCAAGCCTGTAGCCACAACCAACTAGCTAGCATTTATTGGGAGTCCCTGTTTGGTACAAATAGTTAATATTCCTGGTTGCTAATTGAACGGTTAGACGTTTAAGTACATCCAGAGGTACCTCGGAAGAAAGGCCTGGCAACTTGCTCCTGAAAAATCCAAACCATAAAACCAAACGTACTGCCACTGAGTCGCTTTGACTCATAGTGACTTTATATAAGGTTTCCAAGACTAAATCTTTACAAGAGCAGACAACATCATCTTTCTCCCACGGAGCCGCTATTGGGTTTGAGCTACTGACCTTGCAGTTAACAACCATATGCTTAACTCATGGCACCACCAGGACTCCATTGAAAACTCTATGGAGCCTAGTTCTCTGACATACATGGGATCCCTATGACTGAAGAATTGAATTTTTAATTAGATTTGGTTTAAAGTAACCACGTGGCTGTGGTCCTGGGCTGCTTCACTGTACAGTAGAACCATGGATGGTCCAGCTAATCCATCATGTCTGTGACATGCATGCCCCGGAATGCCCCCTGGGAGTCAGAGTAGAGATTTCCAGAGTTCTTCCCTGTACTGGACAATGACCCCTCTGTGGTTTGCCTTGGTTGGATGGCTCTGTTGTTCACCCCGTCCCCAATCCCCCAGCCATACTAACCTCTATTCTTTCTCCTCAGATTTCTACTACTCCAAACGCCGCCTGGTGTTCTCCAAGAAGAAGCCTTAATCTACCCACTGGAAGCATGCTGCTCCTGAAAGCCGGGCTCCACATGAGCCCCTTATGAATCCTCTGGCTTTTTTCTTTAATTTGTCTGTCTTAATTATTATTTGTGTTTTAATTTAAACGCATCCTCATGTACATACCTGCTCCCTACTCCATTCCTCCAGCCTCTGGCAATAGAATTATTTAAAAAAGTAAGTAGGCAGTAGAATAGTAGGCCCATCCAAGTGCTGGGTATTTTTATTATACAAATCCTTATTTAAAATCTCCTCATTCTATGGTTTTCATATCCTCTCTTCAGGAGGCAGGTGGGGACTGGCTTCATGCCAGCTGTTTCCTGCACCCCTCACCTGCTGGGTGGAACTCTGGAGGGACATGGCTCCCTCGGCTCATTGTCTCATGGGCATTATGAAATTCCACCCTCTCCTGGATTCTCAGACCTGAGTCAAGACCTTTTCATTTGAGAAATAAACAGATAGCACTTTTAAGAAGCCCAGCAGAACAGGGGCATCATCAGACACTTTGGGGTCCTCTTACCTCCTCTAAGGTTGAGAAGGGCAAACTTGAAATAGCACAGACTAGGGACAGACCCGGCAACCTCCTGGCCCAAGTTATCCCACCCTGGGAAGACAAGGGGTAGGTAGGATCCTGTAGCAAACCGCCCCCACCTACCCTGTACAGGAAAGCCAGCCTCAATGTTTGGTTTCCAACTCTACTGGCCCCCTGGATTTTTTTTAGGATCCCTTACTCTTCTACAGCAGGACTCAACCTTCATTCATGGCCTTTCCCTCTAGTACCCTCCTACCCCTGGGTGTCAGCTCCAGGATACCTCTACCCCCAAATCAGTTGACTGGATGGGGGAGGGGCAATTTGAAGTAGGGGTCCCCAGTTCTACCTCAGGCAGCTCAAGCAGCCATCACCCCCTCTCTTTTAGCTCTAGGGGTGGGGACCCTACGTAGTCGAACAGGGTATGTAAATGAGGGGGCAGATTTTTCTGAGAGGAAGCATGTTACACCAGTCTCCTGGAACCCATCTAAGGACCTTCCGCCCCACCCTTTCTCCATTTCATTGCACTTTGAAGAGCAGCTGAACAAGAAGTCAAGTGTGTTTAGATGGCAGAGTAGAGGCTGTGGATAGGGCACACTAACTGGGCAAATTTGGAATTAATGGTTGTGAGTTGTTTTTCTTGGCACTGAAAGTTCAGCTCAATGTCAGATTACCCGATAAGCAAGGTAAGCACAGGATTACTTGTGCTTACATAGTAGCAATTTCACATTTTTCACCACATCAAAGATTTTAATTTTAGATATGATTGGCATCTGTCTCCCAACCCCACAGCACCATCCTACTGAATCAAAGCCTCTTTTCAAATTTACAGTTCCTGATAGGGAGGGAGTACCCAGTAAGCACTGTGGTGAAAAACACGTGAAACTGTTCCCCTGGTTGAGCCCCCAGCAGCTCAGAAGCACTTAGTGGATCTGACCATAAACACCTTCCAGCTCCTATAACATCGTGGCCTACACTGTTTTCTCCTGCCTCCCACATGTCCCATTTTCCTGTCTCTCTACCCAAGACTCTCAAGTAGGGACCACATTTTGTACTTCTCTGTGTTCTTCAGCTTCTCCTATAATGCTGAATATACAGCAGGTGCTCAATAAATGATTTCTTACTGACTTTACTTATGATGTTAGTGTTTTCATTACACCTTGTCATTTATAAGAACAAGTAGCTGGTGGGTTTTTTGGGAGGTGGGCGGGTTATTTTAATGCTTTTAAAAATAAAATTTTAAATAAGCACTTAGCTTTTAAGTGCAGAAAACTTGGCAAATAGATCATGAAGCAAAAATCAATCAATCAAACAACTAAACAGTAACAATACAACACTTCCATGAAGTTCACCACTGTCTGGATTTTGGTTTGTTTCCTCTTGATGTTTTCATATACCAAATATGAACATTTAGGTTTTTGGAATCCTGGTGTGACACTGTAGGATAAGCACTTGACTGCAATGTTGGTTTGAATCGCAAGGTCGGAGGTTCAAATCCACTAGCCTCTCCTCAGAAACTCTATACAGAGTTACTATAAGTACTTAACACAGCACTTAACAACAACAAACAACATATTGTACATAATGTACATAATGTTATCTAGTCTTTTGTTAATTTTATTTTTGGTGAGATTATACACGACAAAACTTGTCCCTATTCTACAGTTGTTAGACATGATGATCAGGGACATCAATTACATTCTACACATGGTGTTAAGTCTTCTTACTTCTGTTCTAGTTGTTTAGTTTCCATTTATTTAATCTTTCTGAACCCCACCCCCACCCCACCCCCACCCCCACATGCTATCACCAGTCTTCTCAACAATAAAAGTTGTTGACCCTTTGGTCTTATGCAGATACTTAAAAAAAAAGAAAAAAGAAAACTAACACAATACTCAGGGGTGGCAAGCTTTACTCTTTGGGCTAAACTCTTACTTAGTTTAAAGGTGACTTTAGGGGATAGGTTCAATTCAAGATTTGAAGATCAATTTAGGACCACAGCCTTGGGTATTCCTCCAGTCTCAATAGGACAAATAAATCTGGATTTTCAGAAATGTGAGGTTTTGATCTACATGGTGGTGGTGGTGGTGGTGGGCCGTGGAGCTGGTTCCAACTCATAGCAACCCTGTATAGGGTTTCTGAAGCTATAAAAAATTTTTTTAATGTTTTATTGTGAATTATATGGTAGTTTACATGAGAGAACTTTAGTTTTACATTCATTCCATTCAATTCATTCCATTCATATCATCTCATTGCCATGGTTCCAATCCCCTCCATGCATCATCAACCAACCAAAGGGTATATCCTAGAAACCCGCCCCCTACACTTCTACCCTCACCCCCACCCCCCCAAGTTTTTGGTCCACAGTCCCTTTCCCTCTCTGGATCCAAAGTCCCCAGCCACTTCATTACTCCACATCTCTGTCTCCATCTCAGGCATCTCTGTTTTTCTGGATAGGGTCCCGCTCTCGGCTCTTCTCCGTTGATGGTCCCGAGACCTCCGCTCCTAGCCTGTAGAATTAATCACTCCCTTCCTTGTTACAAAACGTCTACCTTTGCATTTCCAACCCTCATAATCCGTCCTGATAAGCATTATTCACTACAGTATCACGAGTTACCCATCTGTATTTCCTTTCATCAGCTC